TGGTCTCAAAAAAAAAAAAGGACAAAAAAAATAAAAATAAAATAAAAATAAAAAGAGATTGCAGCTGCAATGGATCTGTCTCTAATTTTACCTACTTTTTTTTATTGCAGGACTGCTGAAGCCTGGAAGTCCCCTCCCCTTCCCCCTCCCCCCTTTGCCGCTTTGTGGCATCCCCCTCCCTCCACCCTTTCCCACTCTGATAATCTGGCCATGACTAGCAGAAGCACAGCTAGGCCCAATGGGCAGCCCCAGGCCAGCAAAATATGCCAGTTCAAATTGGTCCTGCTGGGGGAATCTGCAGTGGGGAAGTCTAGCCTGGTATTACGTTTTGTCAAAGGGCAGTTCCATGAGTACCAGGAGAGTACCATTGGAGGTGAGTACCTCAGGAAATGAAGAGATCCAATGCTTAATAAGGCTTTTGAATTGAGATCTAGGATCTGATTGTAGAGCTGGCCCTCTTAGCCCCATTCTTTCCCCCCAGGAATGGAAACTTTATAAAAACAGAGAAAAATAATTACCATAATGCCAGAAAGCAGGTATATATTCATCCTCTTGCTTTCTAAAAGAGAGGTTGACCATTGCACACCAAGAAAATCAGTCTGTCTTCCTCCCCCCACTCAATCATTTTAACTCCGGTGAAGTTCAGTTGAGTGTTATCTTGAGCAGATAAAGTTGGTTTGGAGCAGTGATTCATAATCAAAGATGTACATCAGAATTAACTGGGGAGTGCTAGTAACACCAAGGTCAAGGGTTTGTATACCCGTACAAACCAGCTGCCAAAAAAAAAAAGAATTACCTGGGGAGTATTTTTAACCTATGCATGCTTCGGCTCTATCCTAGATCTACTGATTAGCATTGGATGTAGGCTGAGGTTGGCGGCAGCAGCTTGGGCATGTGTGTTCGGAAAAGCTTCTTAAGAAATTTTTTTTTTTTTTTTGTCCTTTTTGAGACCGGCCGCACTGCGCTCAGCCAGTGAGCACTGTGAGCGCACCGGTCATCCCTATATAGGATCCGAACCCGCGGCGGGAGCGCTGCTCTCTCCCGAGTGCGCCACGGGCTCGGCCCTTAAGAAATTTTGATGCACATATCTGGTAAAACAGAGGCTAGAACTAATAGAAAATATATAAAGGGCATCTGCCTTTCCCACCTTTGCTACCTTCTCCCTGCCACTACCTCAAAATAGGGTGCTAATTCAATAAAAGATCTTTTATGAGAATTTCCATATTACTCTTTCCCTCTTTTACTAGTCACCTTGAAAATGTAGTGTTCTGGACCTGCAGCAGAAGATTATATGGAAAAGTAACAGCCAAATAATATTGATAATGGTGGGACCTGCCATCAAGCTTTAAAATCTTCTAATTCTCTTAGGGTGCGGCCTTATAACAACAAGGTCATGCATTCAGATCCCTGTACTGGCCAACTGCCAAAAAAAAAAATCTAATTTTTTTTTCTTTTTTCTCTTTTTCTAATTAATTCTTCATGTGACTTTCATCTGAAGCTCATTTTCTCTGTCATTACTTTTTATTTCCCTGTCTTGGTTAGAAGAGAGATGACTCTGATATTAAGTCCCAATTCTCTCTATCCCTTACAGTTTATGATGTGCCCCAACTCCTTAGCTAGAGAAACTTCTGACAAAGGACTTAGCCAAGGGCAGACTTAATCCTGGTTTCAGGATTTTTGTGTAAAGAGAATGCTAAACCTTCTTCTGTAGCTGAGTGGCCTGGGTGGTGACTGGTCTTAGACTGAGAGTAGAGATATTTTGAAGGAGGGGGTCCCATTCATCCTCCCACTTACAATTTCTTCCCCTCCATTCTCTCATCTATAGCGGCCTTCCTCACCCAGTCCGTTTGTCTAGATGATACAACAGTCAAGTTTGAGATCTGGGATACAGCTGGGCAGGAGCGATATCACAGCTTAGCCCCCATGTACTACAGGGGTGCCCAAGCTGCAATCGTGGTTTATGACATTACTAATCAGGTAAGCTGGCTGAGAAGACTGTCCTTGCTTTTATTTAGAGGAATTAAATTAGGTGGGGGAGAGAAAATAGATACAAATTTGCTTTCCAAGTGCTTAGAAGACAGAGGTAATGAGTAATCATTATCAGAGACCCATGGTTTTAGCAAGGGAAAGCTGCCTAGAAGTGAGTTTTGAAACTGGGTTTTGAAGGTGATGGATGTGGATTGGCAGTCATTCCAGCCCACCCATTCTCTTCCTCGTGTTTTCCTAGGAAACCTTTGCCCGAGCGAAGACATGGGTCAAGGAACTACAGCGACAGGCCAGTCCTAGCATCGTTATTGCCCTAGCGGGGAACAAAGCTGACCTGGCCAACAAGCGCATGGTGGAGTATGAAGTAAGATGGCCCATAGAGTCCCTCTCTAACACATTCCCTCTGTACCTGGGACCTCTTCTTTCCAAACCAGCCTTTCTGAAAACCTCATCTGAGGACATTGTCTCATTCCCTAGCTCTGCACCAAATTGAATACAGCAGCACTGTGACCCTAATGACAGCCAGGAGATTTTAGAGGAGTCAGGAGAAAACTCCAGAGCAGAGGGGTAGGGAAGTAGCCGAGGGGTACCAGTGTGGAAACAGGAAGGAGGAAGCAATTAAATTTGAGGTAAGGAATTATTCAAGTATCAGAATTCAAAAGTCCCCAATGAACTTACCCTCTCCCTCATAATTAAGATTCCTAACATCTATTTGTTGGACTGAGTGGACATGGGTTTGTCTTGAGGGAGTCGTCATCCAATTCGTCCAAGGCCAGCTGCCTCAAAGGAGCATTAATTAAGGAGAGGGAACCTATGATATTGTCTAGCTCTGCTGTGACATGGGAGTAGAAAGATAATACTTGTTCCCACCCTACATTCTGAGCACCGATATACCCTACCCCTTTGCAGGAGGCCCAGGCATATGCAGATGACAACAGCTTATTGTTTATGGAGACTTCAGCCAAGACAGCTATGAACGTGAATGATCTCTTCCTGGCAATAGGTAAGGTCAGAGCAGCCTGAGGTCTTCCTGTCTTTTTCCCTTGCCTATTGGCAAAATCATCACCAACCCAAATCAAGGATAGTTTATAAGGAGTGTCTCCTCTTTTTTTTTTTTTAAAGATGACCGGTAAGGGGATCTTAACCCTTGACTCAGTGTTGTCAGTATCACGCTGTCCCAAGTGAGCAAACCGGCCATTCCTATATAGGGATCCGAACCCTTGGCCTTGGTGTTATCAGCACCACACTCTCCCAAGTGAGCCATGGGCCAGCCCTCTCTTATAAAAACTTTAAGTATGGAAATACCTTAACTTTCTATTATGACCTCCATCCTTTGGATGCAGTTTTAGCTGCTTTGTCTTGAATTTAGTTTGTAAACAGTGAACCCTCCCCTCTTCAGAACATTCTTTTAATATCTCACATTTCCTCCTTCCCCCCACTTTTCCCAAACCCAACAGCCTTGGGGGGGGGGGGCTGAGTAAAATTTACCATACTTTGTTCCCTTCTCTTTTTATCTCTAGCTAAGAAGTTGCCAAAGAGTGAACCCCAGAATCTGGGGGGTGCAGCAGGCCGAAGTCGGGGTGTGGATCTCCATGAGCAGTCCCAGCAGAACAAGAGCCAGTGTTGTAGCAACTGAGGGGGTGGCTAGCAGCAAACAAGTATGGAGCTAGCACGAGAGCTAAGAAATATCCTCCATCCCTACCCCTGAGCACACAGCCCCTACGGTAACAGCACACGGAGCCCTGGCTCTCAAGGGCTGCCTCCTGACAGCTCCGTCATGGCACTTTTTAACGCTTCAGCAACCAACACCAGGCAGCTGTTGCCACTGGCCTCCTACCCCCTACTCTGGGGCTTGGGGGTCAGATTCCCCCAGGACTTACCTTCCAAAACAAACTTTCTTCACTTTGTATTATAGGTGCAAGACAGTGACCTTATCTTTCCTCCTCCTCCCCTGTGTTCCTCCTCATTTTTTCAAAAAACACTTGTCTCCTGCCCCTACCCCCCTTTTTGCTTTTGGTCAATCCTTGTTCTTGATCCTCTTTTCTTCCTCTTCCCAGGATGGAGAAAGTGGTGAACCAAGGCATTGAGGAAAGAGGTTTCCAGTTCAGTCACATTAAGGGCCCTGGGGAGGGGAAGGCTCAGAGCAGGAGGGAGTAAGGAAACAGTTCCTTTTTGTTTTTATTTGGTTGGAGTTTCTCATATTTGAAAACATGCAGTATCCATGAGTTGGCTTTGTTCCTACATAGAGGTGAGAATGGAGAGGCAAGCTCACAGGTACCAGCTGGGAGTCACATTGTTAGCTAACTAGGTGGAGGTGTAGGTCCATTTTCATCTGCCACTCTGGAACTCTTCCAAGGCCCAATTTCCCCTCACCCAGCCTCTTAGGTAGCTTCACCCCTATAGTGGGGATCAGACCCCAGAGTCCTCCAAAGAATCTTCACTGGTTGCCTGTATCTTTGGCTCTGCTACGATCTAATTGGAGGACGGACCAGTTTCTGATACCCATCCTCTGATCTATACATATGCATTTTTCCCCCTTTGGCCTTTAGATGGCCTCAGCCCAGCCACCATATCTCCCTGCAGTTTGCACTTTAATTGATGGTAGTTCAGTTGGGATACTTATTTTATGGGGATTTTGATTGATTTACTTGCCCTTCCACTTTCTTTTTAATTAAACGGAATCTGAGGTATATATGAGGTTTTGAGAGGGGCTATAGAGAACAGCACCAGTGGCAGCTACTCAAGCCCAGTCTCCACTGCTAGTTTCCTCCAACTGATTCTTAACCTACATTCTTGCCAACCTGGCTCTTCAGTATAGGTTCGCCTTTTCTGGAGAATTAACTGAGCCTCTGGGGAGTGGTCTCAGGATAGCATAAGCCAAGGTAGGGGAGGAAAAAGGGGTCAAGCAAAAGGGAGGAGTTTTCTTTCCTTTCCCAGGGTTCACATTCAATTTGATATCCATTACCATGTCTTTTCTACTTCCCTGTAAATAAGTATGATCTTTGTTCCCACTGTATAGTCTGTTCTGTCCTCTGCCTCTCATCAGGCCCTATTTTTTCCTCCTTTGTTAATATCTTGAGTTTAGTCCCTTGATCCTTATCCCCATACCCCCCACCCCTACCATGCAACCAGTGGTTTAGTCCTGTACCACTAGGGGCTAGTACCACAGAGACCCACTTGTGGCCTCCTCATATCTTACCACCTGTTCCTATGGACAGGGAATAACTAGTACTGAAGGTCATCACAACTGTTTCACATCATCAGAGGACCTTGGTCCTTTCTAAATGTATAGCCTCTCTTCGTATGCCTCATCAGGTGTTTTAGGATGTCTTTGGGAAGCCATCAAGGCAAGAGAGAACTCTTAAGTTCATTCTTGTTCCAGCCCAGAGTTCTGGGAAAATTTGGGGAAAAAGAGAGGAAAGGCCACAGTGACCTAGGATTGGAACCTTTCTCCTTTTGGCTCACAGACTGCCTTCTGCCCCAGAGCAGCTGAGAAATCCATGAAGCTGAGATTCTGAACTACCCAGCTTAGGTTCTTCCACTTAAGCGTTAATTTTCCAGGGGCAGCCTTAGTTCCCATGGCCCTGAAGCACACATAGATTTTCCCCTTCCTTTCTCAAAATCCACTAGTTGCCCAAAGCACCAGTGCATCCTTTTTACAAGTGGAAGAACTAGGATGGCTCTCTAAGTCTCTTAGAAATGAAGGTCTTTTTTGTGCAGCTTTACCCATGGAGCAGGAGTGAAGATGTTTATTGCCTTGGAGGTAGGGAACCATTTCCCCAGGCTTCTTCTCCCTTCCCCCACCCCCTTAGGATTGGCCTTAGCTTCTGGGCCCATCTGCTGCCTTCCTTCTACTTCCTATCAGCCCTTCAGCCTTCCTTTGAACTCTTGGGCTTGAAAATCTTAGTTTTTTATTTCCCACCTCTTCAATTTTTTCTTTTGATCAGTTTTTTTTTTTTAGGGG